ATGAACCTAAGAATAGAAAGGTGGTATCCAGAACTTGGTGTTCGTGGGAAACGGCACCCAATACTGGGCTCTCCATTCCTGCAGGCCTAACTCCGGGCTCTCTGCTCTGCCAGCAGTGGCTCTGCAGGAGCCACAGAATCCTTTGCCTGATTCCAACCCAAGAGGCCCTTGCTTGGAACTAGAGAAAGCAATTTGGCCTCGCAGGTCTTCCACAGGAATTAGAGATAACAGTTGCCACGTATTGAGAACCTATTATTGCAAAACGTATTTTAAATTTAACACCCCCACCCCCAGGAATTCTATTCAGGAATAGAGGCCCATTGTTCAGGTAAGAAAGCTGAGTGCAGAGGTGTAAGGGCCCCTAGAACAGGTGGAGCTGGAGCTTGAATGTGGGCCTCCCAGCTAAGTCTTCTTCGCATTACTCTCTGCCGCCCACCCAATGTCAGCTGTGACCAAGGCTGGCCCCTCTGGGGAACTGGGGGACATTGAACTTGAAGGCTGCAGAGCCAGGGGTCCTTGGGATCCCGAGGTAATTCTAGAATCATAGAATTCTGTGCACCCTTTTCAACGAAATGTGCTGGTTACTAAAATGGGCTCTAGAGAGAGTTGGCCTGGGTTCGAATCTCCCCTGCTCCATCCCTTACCAGCTCTGTGACTCTGGACAAGTTACTTTCTCTCTCTGAGCCTCCATTTCTTTATCCGTAAAGTGGGAATATCAGTAGGACCTAATTCCAGGGTTGATGGGAGGATTTAGTAAGTTAATCAATGCAAAACACTCAGAAGACTATCTGACACATAGTAGGTTTCAATAAAGGTTATGACCTATTGTTATTAATATTATTTGTATTGGTTCCTAGGACTGCCGTAACAAAATACCGTACCCCGAGGGGAGGGGCTTAAACAACAGAAATTTCTTTTAACAAATTCTGGAGGCTGGAAGGCTGAGATCAGGGTATCAGCAGGGTTGGTTCCTTCTGAGGCCTCTCTCCTTGGCTTGTGGACGGCCGTCTTCTCCCTGGGTGTTTACATGGTCTACTGTCTGTACCTGTCTGTGTCCTAATCTCTTCCTCTTTTTTTTTTTTCCTTTTGAGACAGTGTCTCTGTCACCCAGGCTGGAGTGCAGTGGTGAGGCCTTGACTCACTGCAGCCTCAACCTCCTGGGCTCAAGTGATCCTCCCACCTCAGCCTCCTGAGTAGCTGGGACTACAGGCGTGTACCACCATGCCTGGCTAATTTATCCCTATTTCTTGTAAAGATGGGGTCTCCCTATGTTGCCCAGGCTGGTTTTGAACAACTGGGCTCAAGTGATCCCACCTCTGACTCCCAAAGTGCAGGGATTACAGGCATGAGCCACTGCATCAGCCCTAACCTCTTCTTATAGGGACAGCAGTCACACTGGATTGGGACCCACTCCAATGACTTCGTTTTAACTTCATTGCCTCGTACAGACCCTATCTTTAAACAGGGTCACATTCTGAGATTCTGGGAGGAAGGACTTCATGTGAATTTGAGGAGGGACACAGCTCAACCCATAACATAATTGATATTATTGGTTCCCATCCTCCTCTGGAGTAAGGTCTTTTCCATCTGCCTGACTTCCTGGGGTTTTTCTCCCCTTGTCACCCAGAAACCGCAGCCAGACGCTCAGCTCTGAGGCGAGTGTGGATGAAGGCGGCGTCTTTGAGAGTCTGAAGGCAGAGGCGGCCTCCCCACCAGCGCTCTTCTCGGGCTTATCAGGAAGCCTCCCCACCAGCTCGTTCCCCTCCAGCCTGGTGCTGGGCTCCTCCGCTGGCGGTGGGGACGTGTTCATCCAGATGCCCGCATCCAGGGAGGAAGGAGGGGGCCGGGGCGAGGGGGGTGCCTACCACCACCGCCAGCCCCACCACCACTTCCACCACGGCGGCCACCGCGGGGGCTCCCTGCTGCAGCACGTGGGTGGGGAGCACCGGGGGCACTCGGAGGAGGGAGGTGACGAGCAGCCTGGGACGCCTGCCCCTGCCCTGTCCGAGCTGAAGGCTGTGATCTGCTGGCTCCAGAAAGGACTCCCCTTCATCCTGATCCTCCTGGCCAAACTGTGCTTCCAGCATAAGCTCGGTGAGTTCTGGGGGCATGGGTGTCCTGGCCATGGGCTTCAACACGCAGGCTGCCTGCAGCCTGTGGGGTGGGGGCTCCTCCTCTGAAGCCCAGGGAGAGACAGTAGAGACCAACATGGGCTTCAGAGTGTGGGATTCTGAGTCAGACCTGGGTTCAAATCCTGGCTGACTAGCTGTGTGACTTTGGGCAAGTCACTTGGCTTCTCTGAGCCTATTTCCTCACCTGTCTAGTGGGAGTTATGATAGAAACTTCCTCGCTAGTTGGCTAGTGTGAAGGAGTCCTGTGTAATAACTCAAACTGCTGGAGTCTGCACCCTAGCTCTGTCCCCTCCTAGCTGTGTGATGCTAGGTGCATTATTTAACCTCTCTGTGCCTCAGTTTCATCATCTGTAAAGTGGGGGTATGATTTTATATTCTTCATGGGATAACAGTGATGTTAAATTTGAGTTAATGTGTATAAAACACATTATTATATATATAAGCTAGAGTGCAGTGGTGCAGGTCTCAGCTCACTGCAGCCTTCGCTCACTGCAACTTTTGCCTCCCAAGTTCAAGCGATCCTCCCACCTTAGCCTCCTGAGTAGCTGGGACTACAGGCATGTGCTACCACGCCCGGCTAAATGTAAAATTTTTTGTAGAGTCAAAGTCTTACTATATCAGCCTCCCAAAGTGCTGGGATTACAGGTACAAGCCACTGCCCCAGCCTACTATATTTATTATTCACATACATTGAAATATTTAACATAGAGGCTGGCATACAGCAAATGATGAATAAATACTACCTACTGTTATTATTAGGAAATAATATAATGATTCATAAAGTGCTCAGCCTCCTATCTAACACATAGTCAACAGTCAGTAATTGGCCTCTAGTATACTGTTTTTCGTTTGTTTGTTTTGACATGGAATTTTGCTCTTGTTGCCTTGGCTGGAGTGCAATGGTGCAACCTCTACTCACTGCAACCTCTGCCTCCCAGGTTCAAGCAATTCTCCTGCCTCAGCCTCCCAAGTGGCTGGGATTACAGGCAACAGCCACCACGCCTAGCTAATTTTTGTATTTTTTAGTAGGGACAGGGTTTCACCATGTTGGCCAGGTCTCGAACTCCTGACCTCAGGTGTTCTGTCCGCTTCAGCCTCCCAAAGTGCTGGGATTATAGGCGTGAGCCACTGTGCCTGGCCTAGTGTACCGTTATTGTTATCATTAATGTTACTTACTGTTTTTTTGTTTGTTTGTTTTTGTTTTTGAGATGGAGTCTCACTCTGTCACCAGGCTGGAGTACAGTGGCGTGATCTCAGCTCACTGCAAACCTCCGCCCTCTGAGTTCAAGCGATTCTCAGCCCTAACCTCAAGTGATCCACCTCCCTTGGCCTCTCAAAGTGCTGGGATTACGGGCGTGAACCACCACACCCTGCTTACTTACTAGATCATGGTGTTGCTGTGCCCCGGCCGGCTTATAGGCTGTTGTTTTAGTACTGCAGTAGGAGTGATGGTAAGAATTATCTTGTGGGCTACTATTTTCCACGAGAAAATATCAGGCAGGTGCAGTGGCTCGTACCTATAATCCTAACACTTTGCGAGGCCAAGGCGGGAGGATTGCTTGAGGCCAGGAGTTCAAGACCAGCCTGGGAAACGTAGTGAGACCCTATCTCTACTTAAAAAAAAAAAAAAAAGAAAAAGAGAGAGAGAAAGCCTCGAGAGGAGATGAGACCATTCTTTATTTCTTATTTTCTTCTCTCTGGGATTCCTCCACCTTCCTTGCTGGGGTGCTGTCCTATCAGCCCCACCCTTTCTATTCCTAGAAGTGAAAGCTGGCATGTTCCCCATTACCCTGAATTCTGGCATCACAGCTAAGTTTTGTTTCGTGAGTATGGTCGTTTTCTTTTTCACTTGGCAGGTTTTTTTTTTTTTTTTTTTGGTTGTTGTATTTTAATCACAGAGAAGAGCACCAAAAAGGATTATGGGGCTACTCATTCTTGTTTTATGTGCTTATAGTGAAGAAATACCGCTTCTACAAAGTAGATCTGGAAAAATAGCTGGAGTGCACATACCTATTAAAAGAGTAAGTGAGGCCGGGCACAGTGGCTCACGCCTGTAATCCCAGCACATTGGGAGGCTGAGTTGGGCAGATCACTTGAGGTCAGGAGTTTGAGCCCAGCCTGGCCAACATGGTGAAACCCCATCTCTACTAAAAATACAAAAATTAGCTGGGTGTGGTGGCAGGCACCTGTAATCCCAGCTACTCGGGAGGCTGAGGCACAAGAATCACTTGAAACCGGGAGGTGGAGGCTGCAGTGAGCTGAGATTGCACCACTGCACTCCAGCCTGGACAACAGAGTGTGACAGTGTCAGATAGATAGATAGATAGATAGATAGATAGATAGATGATTGATAGATAGATAGATAGATAGATAGGGCGAGCATCAGGTGAAAGAGGAATCCTGTCTGCAAATAACAAAAAGCAGGACTCAAAAATCATTATTCCAAGAGAATTCCAAGATTGTAGCTTGGCAAACAGTGGCCAATTACATGACTGGTGGAAGAAAATTCAATTCCGTTATGCCATCTGCCTGGGTCATGTTTGTCTGTTAGCTGGGATTTTTTTTTTTCTCATTGAACATTAAACTTGAATTCCTTATGGTGCTATGAGTTCTTTCTTTCTTTCTTTCTTTCTTTCTTTCTTTTTTTTTTTAAGACAGAGTCTTGCTCTGTTGCCCAGGCTGGAGTACAGTGGTGTGATCTCGACTCACTGCAGCCTCCTCATCCTGGGTTCAAGCAATTCTTGTGCCTCAGCCTCCTGAGTAGCTGTGACTACAGGCGTGTCCACCATGTCCAGCTAATTTTTGTATTTTTAGTAGAGATGTGATTTCACCATGTTGGCCAGGCTGGTGTCAAACTCCTGATCTCAAGTGATCTGGCTACCTCGGCCTCCCAAAGTGCTGGGATTACAAGCGTGAGCCACTGTGCCCAAGCTGTGAGTTTTTTCAATGTATGCTTTTATCACAAATTCTATATGATTCTATCAGACTCTTTTTGAAAGTAGAAATAATAAGAGGCATCATTTACTAACTGCTAGGGATTATGATCTAGAAGCTTTATCCCTCCATGAGGTATAAGTAATGTTATTGCTGTGTCCATTTTACAGATGAGGAAACTGGGGCTCAGAGAGGTGCAGTGACTTGCCCAAGCTCACACAGAGAGGGAGTGGCAGAGCTGGGAATTGAACCCAGCCCTTACCAGACTGCACAGCCCATCCCCTTAGCCAGTGCTATAAAGTATCCCCACAGGGACCTAAATCCTGTCCCTAAGTCAGAATGACTCAGAATTCCCAGAGATTTAGATGGCAGCCCAAATCCCCCAGAAGTGGGATTTTTTTTTTTTTTATTTTACTCTCTCTCTCCTATCAACTCCAAGGGGCCTAGGGATGTGTCTTTTCCCTCATGTTGCTCAGCACCCAGGCTAGGCCTGATGAGTCCAAGTGGGTGACGTCAGGCCCTTCTCTGTCCCACAGGCATCGCTGTGTGCATTGGGATGGCTAGCACCTTCGCCTATGCCAACTCCACGCTCCGAGAACAGGTCTCTCTGAAGGTGAGTCACCTGCCAACCTAGTCTCCTGTGGCTGCTGCAACAAATAGCCACAAGCCAGGCACAACCTTCCCGCTAAGTCTCCAAAGTCCATTGTATCATTCTTATGCCTTTGCGTCCTCATAGCTTAGCTCCCACATACCAGTGAGAACATACGATGTTTGGTTTTCCATTCCTGAGTTGCTTCACTTAGAATAATAGTTTCCAACCTCATCCAGGTCATTGCAAATGCTGTTAATTCATTCCTTTTTATGGCTGTGTAGTATTCCATCATATATGTGTATATATGTGTGTGTATATATACACACATATATGATGGAATATATATATATACACACACACACACACACACCACAATTTCTTTATGTACTTGATTGATGGGCATTTGGGTTGATTCCAAGATTTTGCTATTGTGAATTGTGCTGCTATAAACATGCGTGTGCAAGTATCTTTTTTGAATAATGATTTATTTTCCTCTGGGTAGATGCATAACAGCAGGATTGCTGGATCAAATGGTAGCTCTACTTTTAGTTCTTTAAAGAATCTCCACACTGTTTTCCATAGCGGTTGTACTAGTTTACATTCCCACCAGCAGTGTACAAGTGTTCCCTGTCTACCACATTTACACTAGCATTTATTGTTTTTTGATTTTTTGATTACAGCCATTCTTGCAGGAGTGAGGTGCTATCACATTGTGGTTTTGATTTGCATTTCCCTGATCATGAGTGATGTTGACCATTTTTTCACATTTTTGTTGGCCATTTGTGTATCTTCTTTTGAGAATTGTCTGTTCATGTCCTTAGCCCACTTTTTGATGGGATTGTCTGTTTTTTTTCTTACTGATTTGTTTTGAGTTCATTGTAGATTCTGGATAATAGTCCCTTGTCAGATGTACAGATTGTGAAGATTTTTCTCCCACTCTGTGGGTCATCTGTTTACCCTGCTGACTGTTCCTTTTGCCGTGCAAAAGCTCTTTAGTTTAATTAGGTCCCAGCTATTTATCTTTGTCTTTATTGCATTTCCTTTTGGGTTCTTGGTCATGACATCCTTGCCTAAGCCAATGTCTAGAAGGGTTTTTCCAATGTTATCTTCTAGAATTTTTATAGTTTCAGGTCCTAGGTTTAAATCCTTAATCTATCTTGAGTTGGTTTTTGTATAAGGTGAGAGATGAGGATCCAGTTTCATTCTCCTCATGTGGCTAGCCAATGATCCCAGCACCATTTGTCGAAAAGGGTGTCCTTTCCCCACTTTATGTTTCTGTTATGTTCAGTTAGCTGTAAGTATTTGGGTTTATTTCTGGGTTCTCTATTCTGTTCCATTCATCTATGTCCCTATTTTTGTACCAGTACCACGCTGTTTTGGTGACTGTGGCCTTATAGTATAGTTTGAAATTAGGGAGTGTGATGCCTCCGGATTTTTTCTTTTTGCTTAGTCTTGCTTCCGTTATGTGGGCTCTTTTTTGGTTCCACATGAATTTTAGAATTGTTTTTTTCTAATTCTGTGAAGAATGATGGTAGTATTTTGATGAGGATTGCATTGAATTTGTAGATTGCTTTTGGCAGTATGGTCATTTTCACAATATTGATTCTACCAATTCATGAGCATGGGATGTATTTCCATTTGTTCGTGTCATCTATGATTTCTTTCAGCAATGTTTTATAGTTGTCCTTGTAGATGTTTTTTGACTCCTTGGTTAGGTATTTCCTAAGTTTTGTTTTGTTTTGTTTTTTGCAGCTATTGTATAAGGGGTTGAGTTCTTGATTTGATTCTCCACTTGGTTGCTATTGGTGTATATAAAAGAGCTACTGATTTGTGTACATTAATCTTGGACCTGGAAATTTTATTTTATATTGGCTGGGTTCATCACAGATGGCTTTTATTACACTAAGGTATGTCCCTTGTATGTCGATTTTGCTGAGAGTTTTAATCGCAAAGGAATGCTGGATTTTGTCTAATGCTTTTTCTGCATCTATTGAAATGATCAGGTGATTTTTGTTTTTAATTCTGTTTATGTGGTGTATCACATTTATTGACTCGCACATGTTAAACCATCCCTGCATCCCTGGTATGAAACCCACTTGATCATGGTAGATTATCTTTTTGGTAATTTGTTGGATTCAGTTAGGAAGTATTTTGTTAAGGATTTTAGCATCTATGTTCATCAAGGATATCCATCTGTAGTTTTCTTTTTTGGTTATGTCCTTTCCTGGTTTTGGTATTAGGGTGATGCTGGCCTCACAGAATGAGTTAGGGAGGGTTCCTTCTTTCTCTATCTTGTGGAATAATGTTAAAAAGATTGGTACTAATTCTTCTTTGAATATCTAGTAGAATTCTGCTGTGAATCTGTCTGGTCCTGGACATTTTTTTGTTGGTAATTTTTAAATTATCATTTCAATCTCACTGCTTGTCATTGGTCTGTTTAGGGTATCTGATTCTTCCTGATTTAAGCTAGAAGGGTTGTATTTTTCCAGGAATTTATCCATCTCTTCTAGGTTTTCTAGTTTATGTGCATAAAGGTGTTCATAGTAGCCTTGATTGACCTTTTATATTCCAGTGGTGTCAGTTGAAATATCTTCTGTTTTGTTTCTTAGTGAGGTCATTGGATTTTCTCTCTTCTTTTCTTGGTTAATCTTGTCAATGGTCTATCAGTTTATCTTTTCAAAGAACCAGCTTTTTGTTTCATTTATCTTTTGAATTTTTTGTTGTTGTTGTTTCAATTTCATTTAGTTCTGCTCTGATCTTGGTTATTTCCTTTATTCTGCTGGGTTTGGGTCTGGTTTCTTCTTGTTTCTCTAGTTCCTTGCGGTGTGATTTTAGAGTGTCAGTTTGTGCTCTTTCAGTGTTTTCGACGTAGGCATTTAGGGCTATGAACTTTCCTCTTAGCACCGCCTTTGCTGTATCCCAGAGGTTTTGATAGGTTGTGTCATTATTGTCATTCAGTTTGAAGAATTTTTAAATTTCCATCTTGATTTCGTTTTTGACCCAATGCTCATTCAGGAGCAGGTTATTTAATTTCCGTGTATTTGCATGGTTTTGAAGGTTCCTTTTGGAGTCGATTTCCAGTTTTATTCCGCTGTGGTCTGAGAGAGTACTTGATATAATTTCAATTTTCTTAAATTTATTGAGGCTCATTTTGTGACCTATCATGTAGTCTATCTTGGAGAAAGTTCCATGCGCTGTTGAATAGAATGTGTATTCTGCAGTTGTCAGATGAAATGTTCTGTATATATCTTAAATCCATTTGTTCCAAGGTATAGTTTAAATCCATTGTTTCTTTTTTTTTTTTTTTTGAGGCGGAGTCTCCCTCTGTGGCCCAGGCTGGAGTGCAGTGGCCGGATCTCAGCTCACTGCAAGCTCCGCCTCCCAGGTTTACGCCATTCTCCTGCCTCAGCCTCCCGAGTAGCTGGGACTACAGGCGCCCGCCACCTCGCCCGGCTAGATTTTTGTATTTTTTAGTAGAGACGGGGTTTCACCGTGTTAGCCAGGATGGTCTTTTTTTCCTGACCTTGTGATCCGCCCATCTCGGCCTCCCAATTTTTTTGGATTACAGGCTTGAGCCACCGCGCCCGGCCAAATTTTTTTTTTCTTTGTTGACTTTCTGTCTTGATGATCTGTCTATTTTTTTCAGTAGAGTACTGAAGTCCCCCACTATTATTGTATTTTTTTTTGTCTCATTTCTTAGGTCTATTAGTAATTGTTTTCTTTTTTTGGGAGCTCCAGTGTTAGGTGCATATATATTTAGAATTTTTTTATTTTCCTGTTGGACAAGGCCTTCTACCATTATATTTTTTTTCTCTTTGTCTCTTTTAACCACTGTTGCTTTAAAGTTTTTTTTGTCTAATATAAGAATAGCTACCCCTGCTTGCTTTTTTTTTTTATTTGCATGAAATACCTCTTTCCACCCCTTTAAGTTTATGTGAGTCCTTATGTGTTAGGTGAGTCTCCTGAAGGCAGTTTTTTTTTGGTTGGTGAGTTCTTATCTATTCTGTGGTTCTGTTTTTTTTAAGTGGAGCATTTAGGCCACTTACATTCAATATTTTTTTTTAAATGTGAGGTACCATTGCATTCATCATGCTCTTTTTTTTTTGTGTACCCTGGGTTTTTTCATTTTTTGTTTTCGCTTTTTAACTTGTATTTTTGTTTTATGGTCCTGTGTGATTTATGTTTTTTTGAGGTTCTGTTTTGATGTGTTTCCAGGATTTGTTTTTTTTTTTAGAGCTCCTTTTAGCAGTTCTTATAGTGGTGACTTTTTTTTGGTGAATTCTTGGTAATGGTGAATTCTCTCAGCATTTTTTTTTCTGAAAAATACTGTATCTTTCCTTCATGTGTGATTTTTTTTTTCACTGGATACAAAATTCTTGGCTAATCATTGTTTTTTTTTAGGAGGCTGAAGATAGGGCCCCAATCCCTTCTGGCTTTTTTTGTTTCTGCTGAGAAATCTGCTGTTAATCTGACAGGTTTTTTTTTGTAGGTTAGCTGGTGCTTCTGTCTCACAGCTGTTTTTTTTCTTTCCTTTGTTTTAACTTTGAATAACCTGATGACAGTGTGCCTAGGCAAAGACCTTTTTGCGATGAATTTCCCAGGTTTTTTTTGTGCTTCTTGTATTTGGATGTCTAGGTCTCTAGCTTTTTTTGGGAAGTTTTCCTTGATTATTCCCCCAAATATGTTTTTTTTTTTTTCAGACTTCTTTTCTTCTTCAGGAACACTGATTTTTTTTAAGTTTGGTCATTTAACATAATCCCAGACTTCTTGTTTTTTTTGTTCATATTTTCTTATTCTTTTTTCTTTGTCTTTTTTTTTTTGGGTTAATTCAAAGACCTTGTCTTCGAACTCTGATTTTTTTTCTTCTACTTGTTCAAGTCTATTGCTAAGACTTCCTTTTTTTTTTCACATTTCTAAAAGTGTGTCCAAAGTTTCCTGTTTTTTTTATTGTTTTTTCTTTAAGCTATCTATTTCCTTGAGTTTTTTTCCCTTTACTTCTTGTATCATATTTTGGATTTCAT